TGCACCTCCTCCAGCTTTATCCTCTGCCTCCTCCTGCACCTCCTCCTGCTTGCTTGTGCTTGGTAGAGGAGGAGGTTCAGTCTAACGTTCGTTTGCTGCCCCGTGTTTCAGGTCCAGTTCTGTTCCCTCTAGTCCCGCCCATCTGAGGTAGACCGTCCTGTGATTGGTTAACCGATGCGTCTGAAGCACTGAGGTTTAGATAAACTTGAATGAATCTTTGTGCCTTTATTGGACTCCGAACGTTTGCAGATTCCTGGTGAAGTCGTTCTGTGACTTTAATAATAATAGAAGCTGTGGTGCCGTCTATGCATCCCAGTTCATACCTGAGCACAGTGAAAGCATCCAGCTATGGAGACACTTTGATTTCCTCCATAGTTCTTCATGCATTTAAAGCTTCGCTGCAGCCTGTGCTGATCTTTGTAATCAGGTCATTATTGCTGGTTTTATTTTGTTGCTTCTTTTCTTTGATGTTTCTGATAAAAAGTGCTTCATTGGCAGAGAGGAAAATCCGGTGTCGGTTAGAAATCCTGATCTTTTCAGATGTTTTGTGTAAATTATTTAAATTTTTCCTCAACCTTCATTTATTTAACAGTAAATTGTTTTTATTTGGGGATTTTCTCATTTCTCAGTAGTTTTCACAGTTCCAGTAACTTCAATGAAAATAATTTGTTGTTTCAGTGAATTTCTGGGTTTAAGTCCAGTTTTATTTTCTGCATATCGAGTCCAGTCCTAAAAACTGCAATAATGAATCAGCTTCACATCAGAATTCAAAGATTTTCCCTAAATCTGTTCAGCAGGTCAGAGATGATATAAAATGATTTAAAAGAAAAAACAACATATTTTTCATTTTCTGATTAAATCAACCAGCAGATTTAACTTTAAAGTCAAAAATACAAAAATACATTAAAGTCACACAAAGTAATTCATTTATTTTATTTTTGCTTTTTATTTCTTATAACCTTTAAAATAAAATGGATAGAAATCTGAATCAGTTGGTAAAACCTCAGATAATATTTTTTATATTTTTAACATCTTTCTGGACGCTCATCACTAAATACGTGAAATTAAAACGTCATCATGAAAAGTTTAGCATCAAACTTTCCAAAGATGTGACTTTCAGAGTGGAGCTTTGCTTTCATTCAGTGAAAGTCGACTTTATTTGAAAAGTTTTAACCTTGAAAACGCAGCGAAACGCAAGCAGCGAGGAAGAACCGCCGCTGCTTCTTCTGCAGCCGGCAGCGCTGAATGCTTCATGTTCTCTGCTGGGAAACAGCAGCAGGTTAACTGATGGATGGGCATGGGGGGGGGGGACACTCCATATACCCCCCCCATGCCCAAAAAAAGAAAAAGAAAGCTGAAACACCCCCCCCCCAGAGATTGTTCTTTTTAATTCTTTCTGTGACTTTAAGCTGAAATAATTTGCTCGTTTAAATCGTCTTCATTAAGCCGCCTGATGTGATAAATAATCATTCATGTTTCAGCACTAAAGGCAGGAATCTGGATTCTGACCAAATGTCTCTAGAAAAACACTAAATTGATTATTATAAAATCTGCATTAAAAGTCAAACGATGAGATCATCTTATTTTTATTAGAGAAAAAATAGAAATGATATAAATTTAACCCCCCCACACACACACACACACACACACACTCCAACCTCCAGCTACATGTCTGGTCAGGCCTACCTGCGGTTCAGTGACCTTTGACCCGGTGGGGAAGCTCGGCTACGATGCCCCAGAGGGACCAAACTCCTGCAGGCTGCTGACCTTTTCCTGCCTGCTGAGTCTGACAGACCAGGAGAGACTGACAGGCTGCTCCTTACAGGCTGCTCCTGACAGGCTGCTCCTGACAGGCTGCTCCTGACAGGCTGCTCCTGACAGGCTGCTCCTTACAGGCTGCTCCTGACAGGCTGCTCCTTACGGGCTGCTCCTGACGGGCTGCTCCTGACAGGCTGCTCCTTACAGGCTGTTTCTGCTATAGTGACGGATTCAAAAGGCTCTTTTTCTCATTTAGAAAATAAAATAAATAAAAGTCTTAAATTCACTGAACTGGAATCACTGATGCAATAAAAAAGCTTTTATAAATGATGAACTATTAAATCTGCTGATGGGTTATTTTAAGATAAAATAAGAAATCCAGATATTTCTTCTAAAACACCAGAATAAATTTAACAGAAATAATTCAGATTCCCTCAGTAGTTTATTTGCAAACCTTTGTGTTAATATAGTTTATAAATTACTGAACATTTTTCAGGTTTTCTTTGTTTTTTAGTTATTTTCATCTAAATGTTGATCTTAAAATGATCTTCTTCCATATTTGTTCAGACAGAGGAAGCAGCTGAAACTGTAAACCTGTCGCTGACGTTGATCCGTCTCACACTCCTTCTGTCCCATATCATGACACTCCCGCCTCCCTGCTAATAGCTAACCTTTGCTGTGGTCTTTAAAAAAGACAAATGTTGGATATAAAATGCTGCAGGTTTTTTTTTTCCATTCATTTGATGTTTTTTTTTTTTTATCTTATTTTGCAAAGATGTTTATTTATTTGCTCCCCTGCAGTTTATCTACCCTGACATGTTTATCGGTGTTTTAATACGGTTGTTGTCGATCATCAAGCTTTGGTTTTATTGTGATTCTTCCCACTGAGAGACGAGGTTCTGATTTGATCCACATCAGTTTATAAACAGTGAACATTTTTTAGAGGTTTAATTCCTTTATTTAGATACAGACAGAGAGGCTAACCACCCAGGGGGGCATTTTGTTAAGGGACGACGAACAGATGAAGAACAGATGATCATTTCTGTCCAGGAAACGGTTTTATTGTGGACTTTATAACCAGGCTGATGCACAGAAGTTCTAGAAGAAAATAAGGTTTTATTTTGCAAGAGGATTTTAAAGACGGCATTTTATTTGCAGATTACAGTTTGGTCCTTAATTTGAAGGCTGTTAATTAGCTTTTTATAAAGATGATGGTCTGAGTTAAATAACCTCTATTTTCAAATCTAAACATCATAAATTATCAGATCTCTAATAAATCGTTTTAGGTTCAGTTTATCTTTAAAACGGCTTTATGCAAGAATTCTGTGATCAAATAGACAGTAGAGTAAAAAAACACAACAAACTGTAGAAAAACATCTAGTGGATTTCTTAAATCCTCAACTTTTAATTATAAAACCTTAAATATATTTAATAAAGAAAAAAAAAAGATTGTTGAGCAAAGAGGGAGGAGTCGACCGGGACGTTATTTAAAGAGACAGAAAAATGATTCAACTTTGAGTTCCTTTA